CGGCATTGACGCGGATATCGTCAATACGGTCCGTGCCTGTGAGCCGTGCCAGATCATGCAGCCCAGTCAACAGCAGGAGCCCCTCTTGTGCGACGACGAACCCACGAGGCCCTTCGAGTCCATGTCGGCTGATTTCTTCAGCACAGCTGGGAAACATTTCCTAGTTGTCGCCGACCGACTCTGGGTGGCCTGTGGTGGTAAACTGTGGCTCGGACACGACGTCTGCGGCCACCATTCGCCACTTCTGGCACCTCTTTCGAGACATGGGCGTCCCCGTATGTCTGCGGAAGGAGGGTGGACCACAGTTCACCAGCCGGGACATCACAGGATTCCTGGAGCGTTGGGGAGTCCGCCACATCGTGTCAACACCCCACTACCCACAGTCAAACGGCCATGCTGAGGCTGCGGTCAAGACAGTCAAGCACCTCATCCTCAAGGTGGCCCCTTCAGGCAACATAGTCTGTGAGGCGTTTGACAAAGGACTCCTGGAGTTACGTTACACTCCCACCCACACAGGGCGCTCCCCTGCCCAGATCCTGTATGGTCACCCTCTCCGCTCTTGCGTTCCTGCACACGCCAAGGCCTTTGCGAAGGAGTGGCAGACCAGAGCCGAGAGCTGCGACCGCCGCGCCGCTTCACGTACCCAGGACGCCATGGCTCGGTATGACGACTGTGCCCGCCCTCTTCAGCCACTGGAGATTGGTGCCCTTGTCCGCGTCCAGGACCCGACGACGACACGTTGGGACAAGGTGGGCATAGTGATGGGCGTCGGCCGGTCGCGGATCTACAAGGTCAGAATGCCGAGCGGCCGTGTCTGGTGGAGGAGCCACCGCTTCCTCCGGCCAGTCCCACCCCCTGCTGCTGGCCCCCTGACCGAGGACGAGTCTCCTACACCTCACGAGGATTCGCCCCACAGTGCACCTCGACGCTCGGAGCGACTCAGGACTAAGAAGTCCGCTCAAGACAAAGACTATGAGCGTGATGGGGGGAGGGAGATGTAGGTTATGTATCTATGCTACTGTGCCGAGTAGCAACCTTGTAAATAAGTTACTGTGCCGAGTAGCATTTATATATGTAATTACGTGGCAACACTGCACGTGTTATGTGGCAACATTGCCCCGAGGCTGCCATATGGCAAGGCAGTCTCAGTCTGACTCTGTGGGCCATACATGGCACACGCACGTTACCACTTGTCTCCTATCCGTTAATAAATGGACTTCAGTGTTACCCGGTGTTCCCTACCCATCACTGCCTTCTTCAGGGAACACTTGGAACCTTCAAGCAATAAGAGTGCAGAGGTCTTATTGCAACTATATCTTGCCCGAGTCAGGCCGCACCACGATTATAGAATGGATATCAATTCACTGGAGTCGGTGCAGCGAAGAATGACAAAAATAATCCCGGGACTTAGAAACCTTCCATATCAAGATAGGTTAAAGAAACTAAACTTACATTCCCTAGGAAAACGAAGAGTGCGGGGAGATATGATATAAGTATTTAAGTGGGTGAAAGGAATTAATAAAGGGGATATAGATAAAGTTCTTATAATATCCGAGTAGGATAGGACTCGTAGCAACGTATTTAAGTTGGATAAGTGCTGGTTTAGGAGGGAGACAGAAAGAAACTGGTTCACAAATAGGGTTGTAGATGAGTGGAACAAGCTTAGTAACTTTGTAGTAAATGCTGGGATGCTGGAAAGTCTTAAAATGAGGCTAGATAGATTCATGGACGATAGAGAGTGGTAGTAACCCTCGTTATGAGATGCCATGCACAGGCCAACCGGCCTATTGCAGACTCCTTATTTTCTCATTTTCTCATGTTCTAATATACTTTCAACCTCATATCATCAAGGATTATTGAGGCAGTCATATGAATGAGACGTTCGGTCTTACGACCTGTATCAGTGTATCAATTACCTTGTCAGTAATCCATCTTTCACTGAGGAATTTGTGAACTGGGTCACGAAAACTGACGATACTCGACTTTCCGGTGATGACTGTGATCGTCATATCGTCTCCATAATGTTTCTTAAGCATTTGCTTGAAATATCTTAATGAATATCCATCTTGTCCATTTAATTAAGTGTCCATGTGCTCTAAAAGCTCTACTAGAGAGTACTGACATTCATCATTCGCATCAAGAAAAGCACAAAATTTCATGAAAGCTTCCTCCTGAACCTGATCAGATGGTCTGCCAATGGATTCTTCCTTTTCATCTCTGTTCCGGAGAAATACTTGTTCACAATTATGATGATGTTTTGCTACAGCCAACACTAAATCAAAAGCTGTCATATGCGTTCGATAACAGAATTTTTCCTGTCATCTTGTGTATCTGCGATATGATTCAAAACGATGTTCTGAAATTCTTAAGGTTTTTACGCTGTTTACGCCTCTCCTGCCTGTTGAGTGGCATTGTCTTGTCCACAGTTATGGCTTCTGAAATACACAAATAGACAATCATGTTTAATATTAAAGGTAGAAACACCTGATGGCAATAGTGGTGCCTCTTCCTCCTGTATCACACTAGCAGATGACTTCCTCCTTATAGCTGTTATCGTGCTCTCACGTGCATAGTTCTTGGGACAAACAGTATAAAGTTTCAGTGGTGATATTCTCTCCAGCATCTGTTGAAACCCATCACCTCGCTTGATGGTTGCCAATACAAGTGTCCTGCGGCTATAAAAATTTATCTCCAATTGTTGCAACATCAGTCGAGCCCAGCTCATTGCAGATAATACAAGACACATTCAGTATATGGAATAGGAATAAACTATTCCAGTTATTACCGTTATGGGCTTCTTGCATATTAATGTAATAATATCAAACAAAAATACGAAGTTTGCCCCCGATAATTTATCAAATATTCTATCTGGTTACCAATATATGACAAGAGAATGGCAACCATCTTTTTTGTTTGTATCCTATTATTGATGGTTTTACATGATTGCACGTGTCTGAAAACCGTTGATTAAACTTTTTATTTATATTTCTATCATGTCTAGTTGCACTATAGAATGGCAGCCATCTTGGACGCCATCTTGAATTCATGAGCTAGCACAAGGAACATGTTTGGGTGTTTTATTTGCTTTTATCACACTAGTATAAGTCTTTCCTGAAATTTGCAGCATGTTACCAATTAGTTCTAGGTTTGAGGTCTATTTCAGCTATAACTCTTGGACTATTCGCTATATGTGTGAGTTTTAGTGAGATGTAAACTTTACCTTGGCAGCACCAGGGCCGCCAGCCTCCCTTAAACTAATTGACAAGACCAGCAGCAGCGCAAAGATGTGTTGGGATGAGCCCGTCCAGTTGAACGGTGAGCTGTCGGTCTACCAGCTGACTTGGGGAGCTTACCACAAGAACCTATCCCACAACCTGACTTCCTACACCATCTCCGGCCTCCAGTCCAATTCACAATATAATGTTACTCTACAGGTACTGTGTTACAGTGTTACTGTATTACAGAGGTGCAAAGTATTACCTAATTTTTTTATGATGGACTTTTTAGAAAGTTCTGTTATTCTGAATATTTTTTACCTTAACCTCTATCTTAAGATAACATATTTTACTTTAACTACAATTCTCCTGAAATGTTTTAAGTATAAAGTGCATTTTCTAAACATTTGGGAAACTTCAACGTGAAAAGCAACCAATCACAGGACGCAAAGTCACTGTAGTTTGAGGTAATCAATCACGTAAGGCGAGGAGACATTGAGAGCTCCATTGAAGATGATTTCTTCACAAACTAATGAAGCCTCAACAGTGTGTGAGGAGGAGAAGCTATTCCCATACCTGTCCAACACAATGAACAGCAATATAAACATGCTCAAGATTTCCTCTCATATATCCATATAATAAACACACCACTGCCTGCCTCTTCCACCTGTGAACAACTGTTTATTTTTGCTAGACTGATCTTCGGTTCAAAGCGAACAAGTCTTTACCAATAATTCGGAAACCATTCATTATTAAGCTTACTAGAAAGTTCTTCACCAGACAAAATTTGTCTGGTGTCCCTACTTTAAATTCTTTCTTTCTGGCTTTCTTGCGCGTGGATTCATGTGGATGTCATGTTCTTAACCTGACCTCATGTTTTGCAAGGTCACCCTGTGTACATAAGCCTCTC